TGTAAACATCTTAGAAAAATATTTTTCAAGTAATTTTTCAAATAGTAATTATATAAAAATATACAAAATAATATATGTAAATATATTTATATTAAAAAAAAATTTATAAAATTTCTTAAAATGCATGTTTATTATGATAAATGTATATATTTCATCAGTTTAATTCTTATTAAATTATTTTCTTCCAAATTTCAAAAAATAAAAAGCGAACAAAAAAGTTTTACAAATTTTAGTATTTGTAAAATTTTTTTTAAAAAAATATAAGAAAAAAAAGGCAAAAAAATTTTTTAAAAAATTAAAAATTTTGTAAAATTTTTTAAAAAAAATATAAGCATTAGCAATTATTTGTTAAATGTATTAATTTTAACATAATCAAAAATATTCTAATATGATATCAATTATCAAATTACTTTAACATTATGTTTTATATTACAAGTATTTGCAAGTGATATGTAATTGATTTAGGAACTTTTAATTTTATAATATAATTTTAAAAGGATAATTTAAGGATATTTTAAATATTATATCAATTATGAAGTTATTTTAATTTATGCATGAATAATATGTAATTAAGTTAGAAAAAATTTTTTCTAATTAATTAGTAAATTATTTTTTTTAAAAAAAAAAGAAACGAAGTGAAATACCTCAGTGACTAATGTATCAATATAGATGTTATCATCGTAGATCCAACCCATTTGACATGATATCAGTGATAAATTCCTCAAATATTCCCTTTCATTGATCAAATTAATACTAGAATTCAAAAGTTGATCAACTTCAGTTGCATTATACTGTTGACAACTCATTTCATCCTGCAAAATTTCAGAAAAGAGTAGAAAAAAAATTTTCATAAATAATTTGTAAAATATTTAAATTGCAAAAAAAAAACAGCAGAAAAGAAGTAAAAATTTTATGAATAATTTCAAAAACATTTAAAATCTAAAAAAAAAAACGGAAAAAATTATAAGCAATGTTTGTTTATTATTAATAGCAAAAATGAAATCCAAATTTCATTTCTTTTTTTGATTATTTGTGAAAATTTCAACAAATGAAATCTAAAATTTATTAAAATTCTAATAAAATACCGGTGTAGCAAATTCATTTATTGGACTTAAATCTTCGCGTCCTTCTGGCAAACGACAACGATGATTCGGCTGACCAACAACAAATGGCTGATTGAAAGCCGAAAATGCGGATGGCAAACTTGCCGGCAAACAAATTACAAAAAATAATGTAATTTGAAATGGACCAAAATCGCCAACCTACAAATTTTTTTTTCTGTTTACAAATTTTATTCCATTTTAGTAAATGTAATTTTTTTATTTCAATATTTAAAAAGCTTTAAAAAAAGTGAGAAAATCAATCAAATGTTTTTTCCCCATATTTTTAAAATTTCATAAAATTGAAATGAATTGAAATTAGATTTAATATTTCAAAACTTTTGCGAGTTTTTTTCTCACTTATTTAACTTAAACTTAATGAAGAAAAAGAAAAAAAATTTAATTTAATGAAGAAAAAAAATATTATAAAATTTATAACAAATTAATAATTATCACCTCAACAAGTAGAGCATCGAAATCCATCACTTTTTACACACTATACCATTCACTGTTAATTGAGTATTTAATTATTTCATTTTAAATTACAATTTTCCATTGTACCCTTCGAGAATTAAGAGAATGATACTATTAAAATGTTTTTTTTTTTTTAATTTACAATAAAATATTATAGATTGAAAAGAAAAAACATAATTATTATCATTTTTTGATTCTTATGCAAGTTCATAATTAAATTAGCAAACTTTAAAAAAGTAATTTGTAAAATGAAATGAAATATGTTTTGTGATGAAAATTTGACATTTATTTGATGACAAACTAATCAATCACTGTCTATTATTGTTGTTACACTTGATTTCATCCCATTTCATAAATTTATATCTTTTATCACTTTTGATCGGTGTTTTTTTTTTCATGTATGATGATAGAATGAATTTAATATATCATCTATTAACAGTGTTAGTTCAAATTTATAACTGATATTTTCTTTCTTTTTTTCTTGTTTATTTGTTTGTTTTCTTTTCTAAAATATAAGAAAGTGAAAAAATTCACAAAAAAAAAAAGAAAGAGTAAGAATTAAGATAACATATGACGAGTGATGTTGTCAATCAGTGTGTAAGACATTAGTTTTATATCAGAATGATAATAGCATATATTGATGCGATGATAAGAAATATTTGTCAAATAATCATTTCTTGTTATTTTTTTTCCCAAAAAAAAAGAAGAAATATGAATTGAAAGTTATAAATTTAAAAAAAAAATAATCATAGATTAATTATAAAAAAAAAATACTTGGTTACATGAAATTTAGTGTTAATTATTTTCTGATTCTTATTTACTTCGTTTTTTTCGTGTTATTTATTCAGCGAATAATTAATTATTTAAGTTTACAACAAAACTAATCATTTCTTTTACCATGGTATTTTACATCTGTAAAAAAAGAAAAAATTTATGATAAAATTTGAATTCGACACCAATAGCTAATTATTTAATTAGTCAGTGATTTAATTAAAAAAAACTTTAATTTAAAGAAGAAAATGAAAATTATCGTTAAAAGCTATCATTTTGTTAAATAGAATTTGATAAAATAAAAAGTAATATTTTGCGAATAAGAAAGCAAAAATGACAATGAATAATTTCATTTAGCAAACTGTCAACAGTGATTTTTCTTAAAATTAAATTATTGAAATCTGTCTTAGGATTTTTCCCCTAAATTAAAATATCAAAGTGTTACTTTTCTTTTCTTATTGAAAAACAAAATTAAATTCTATTCTATCAAATAGATATTTTAGATTTTTTACGTTTAAAATTTTTTACGTTTTTACGTTTTTTTATAAATTATTCAATATTCAAAAATATTATATAACAACTGATAATCTTATCATGTTACCAACATACAATCCATAATTTTGAATAACATTAAATTAAAATAGCTTACAGATGAATATAAAAAAAAAGTGTGATGACGTACGTGGCATAAGTTAGACGCCAATTTTATCGCAATCGTAGAAATAATTACAAATTCAAAAATTTTTTAATTTTCCTCTTTTTTTTTTAATTGCTACCTAAACCACAACAGTTTTTTGCACAAAAAAACATCAAATTAAAAAAAAAAAAGAAAATAAATAGTGCAATTTTCAAGGATTATTTTATGAATAAAATTTTTGCAAAAAACCAAATGATCAATTAAAATTATAAAAAAATAATTTTTTTCGAATTTTTTTAATGCAATTTTAATGAAATAATAAAACGTTGAAAAAAAAACTTTTTTACTTTTTCAAAAAAATAAAACTTTTTTTCACACCTTTATGTATAATATTAATTTCAAATTTTCGAAAAATTTTTTTCAATAAATTATCAGTTTAACATTTTAGCAAATTTTTTAAAATGGTTTTACAAATTTTGATAAATTAAATTCTTTCAACAAACTTTGCTTAAATTCATTTCGTGCTTGCTTTTCCGCAGCCTTAATTTTATTTTATAATTTTTTTATAATTTCATAATTTTTATAACTTATAATTTTAAAAGTAAATGAATTGATGAGAAAAAAATTATCATTGCTAATATCATTGTTATAACTATTTTGAGACTAAATTATCACTATATTGTGATAATGCTACTATTCTATGATATTAATTTTATAATAAACAATATATTTTTTCTATATATAGTTTTAAAGTTCAGATATTTGATGATAGTTTTCAGTTTCTTTGGAACTCCCAATAGAGATAATTACCATTATAATTCTCAAATGTGATCATAATATGAATTATGGAAGAGTGATATTATTATTGTTTAGTTATTATTACTAATATTATTACTATTATAATAATTATTACTATTTTTACTCTTATCACACTAATTATTCCATCATAAGAAGCATAATGCATTGAAAATTCACTAATACGTTGACAATTTCTAAACTAGTATATATATCGTATCACAGTCAAAGTTATTTTCTTATTTCCAGAGATCAGCAATTTTGAAAAAGAAATTTAAAAAAAAATTATTTAAAAAAATATTTGTTTTTTAAAAGAAAAAAAAAATTGTTGAGGCTCATTTTGTATTAAGCTCTAAAATTTTTGAAATCAACAAATACTAATAGGCGATGACAATTTTAGAAAAGCGAAAAATTGACGATTAATAGCTTGATGGCAATGAGTTGTTTATTTTTGAGCAAAATATTTTGCGATCCTTCAAAAGCAATTGAGGTATTTTATGCGATAGCAGCACTAGAAAATTGAATTAAATTGAAATATCATCCCAAACTCTCTTATCCATTATTGTAGGAGATGAAAGACTAATTATAAATTCCTGAAATCAATTCTAAAAAGAAATTCAACGTTTTGCACAAATTTTTGAAGGAAATTAAAATTTTTTTCCTGAAAAGTTTATTGGCTTTGCTTAATATTCGCTCAATTTTTTTTTGAAGAAAAAGCAAATATTATTATTCAAAAAAATAAAATAAAACAAAAATGACAATTAATTGAATTTTAAATTAGCAGATTGAAATGAATAAAATTTAACAGTGCATAAAATTGCACAAAAATATAAACATTAAATTATTATAAAGACATGAAATTTATAAGATTTTTGTCTTATTATAAAATACTGAAGGGTAATATTTAAACGAAATTTAATAAGAAATGACATCAAGATTTCAAAGTTGTTTCATTAATGAATAAAATAATTCATCCAAAAATAATCAAAAATAATTTTTAACCTTTTTCCAATGATTACAAAAATAGAAGGCAAAAAACAGGCAAATTTGTTCACCTTTTTGTTTTAATTAGGAATTTAAGTAACATTTTAAACTCAGTAAAACCTAAATAATTCTACCGGAAAATTTTATTGATAGTTTGGAAAAAGGTACCAAAAAAGATTATGGTAGAAGTAGATTTAGAGTAACGTAAATACTGATACAAGTGACATGCGTGTATTGTATCACGTAACTTTTGGAATATTTATTGGTATTGGAATATACAGTAGCTTACTATCACGTATATCTGAAAGGAGCAAATTACTTCATACTTTATGCCTTTTTTTGTATAATTTAAAAAAAAAAAAAACATATTTTTGTTATTATAATTCAATGAAAAAGAAAATACAGTACTCTATTTGATACGGTAGCTTGGTTACCGTATATCTATTACTGACTGCTGTTGTTATGAGTAATACAATTACTGTTAGAGTTGCAAACATTAACAAATGATATGTAAGTATTTGCAAAGCATGCATTTTATGCAAGCATCATATGTATTGCATTCATTTTGTTAATTTTAATTTGTATAACACTTGTACATGAACATACATGTTTTGTTGTTGTTGTTATCATTACTGTTGTCGTTGTTACTGTTATTATCAGTGTTATTGTCGTTTGTTATCATAGTTGTTGTCATTCCTGTTACTACTGTTGCTATTATTGTTGGTATTAGTTTTATTATTGCCATCGTTGTCATTGTTGTTGTTGTTATTGTTCCTGTCGTTATTGTTGTCGTTGTTATTGGTGCTATTGTTGTTGCAATTGTTGTTATTGGTGAAACTAATTAATTACTAGCAAAGTGCGGTTAGATCTCATATAAGGTGACAGCCCCTAGCTGTAGCTATTGCAGCTTGCCCGCACACATTATAATAACATTAGCATTTCATCGTTACTTGATGAGTACTGTGAATTCTACTGTAAATTCTAATAATACCGTACTATCAATTAGCATACATCAAATACAAATATTATTTAGCAATTGATAAAAATTATTTATAATCTGATTTGATGCAATGCTTTTTGCAATGATATAAGGCATTTTTTCATGTCATATATCTTAAAAAGAAAATTTTGTTTATTTCGAGTTCTTCTTGCCTTCTAGCAGAAGTAAATTTTTTTACAATTTTTGAAGTCAATAAATTAAATTGAATTTCCAGTTCTTTCTGCACTAAAAATTATGCTTTATCGGTTTTTTTTTTTTTTTTTTTTAATGCACAAATCAAATAGTGAATAACTGAATTTAGAAAAGATGAAAGATGTGAAAGCAAAAGAGAAAACTTACAATGGTAATTTTGTAAATGCCAGAAAAAAGGCCTAATTTGCTGATGCCAAATTTCAGGAAATATAACATTTTGATATTATACTATCATATTTCATGGAAAATTTAGTAAAGCTGAAATTAGAAAAATACACCTTCCTCCTTTTTTTTTGTTTAACAATTAATCAATGTAATATTTTTTAATATTTTTATTTTTTGAATTAAATTAAATTTGGAATGCGAAAGGAAAAACTTTTCATTTTTGTTTGTAAACAATGTCTCACAAATAAAAGAATAATAAGTTCAAATTTACTAACTTTTATTTAGCATATTCATCTGCTTTAATGATTAACAGATATAAGATAAAATCAAAGTGTACATTTTCTATTCAAAATTGATAAAATACTGATAGTAAATTCTGCATAGAAAGGAAGTAAAAATTTTGTGCAGAAATAATTTTTAAAGTAAATACTACGAAACTAATAATATTATTGATAATTGAGATGTAATCAGAAATTTTATAGCTTTTTAATTTATATGTTTATAGCAGTGTATGAAATGCAATGTTTTAGTTCAATTACTGTCAAACTTTTTTTATCAGATGATAAGATAAATATGACTATCATAACTAGTAATATGTTACTTTCACTTAATTGTACTTAATATCAATTTAACTTTTGATTAATATTAGCATAATATATTACTTTTATTTAACATAAACAATAAGAATCTCGAAATGAATAAACATTAGTTTAACTTTTGAATAATATTAGCATAATAATATATTACTTTTTATTTAACATAAGCAATAAGAATCTCGAAATGAATGAAATATTGATAAAATACTCATTGCAAATAATATGATTTGACAGCAAATGGTGTTATTTGACAAGTAAGCATTAATAAGTTAGAAGTGATAAATTAGATATCGATTGCAATAATCTTATTGATAGATTTCAATCAAATGTAATAAAGCATCGACAAATACGAATATTGCAAGTACAAATTTATAAAATATTGCATAGAGCAAGGATTTCTAATCTCTTACATCATTCATCTGAGATACATTTAGAAATTTAATTAAAAATAACAATTTTATTAGCACATATTTAAAATATACCCTAAATAAAAATATTCTTAAATACACTGCTGAAAGGAAAAAAATTTCAATATTTATGTAAAGTATATAATATAAAATATATTTATGTAAAATATATAATACTTATGTGATATAATTTGTGCTAAATATATAATAAAAAAAAAAAAACTTAAATATAATTCTTTCATGTGTAATTAATTAATGAATTTATATCATTGTTATATTTTTTTTTTTTTTAAGAAATTTTTATTAATACACGGTTTGCTTTCGTATTTAAAATGTTTTCCCCTTTTTTTACATACTATTTTTTTTTTTTTACAATTAAAGTAATTCACTATTTGCTGTTAAATGTTTATGACGTGAAAGCGTAAAATAAATTACGTTAAAGGCGAACAAAGATTAGCATTTCAATATGATAAGTAATAATTGTTGTTGTTGTACGTGCAACTGTTTTTGATTTATTTTCATACATCATTGCAAGTGTTGTTGATGCTGATTGTCACTCCTATAATTTCTTAAAAATTTATTTATAAATCATAAAATTTTTTAATTCATTTAAAATTTCATAAAATATTTAAATTTTTAGAAAAATGTAAGTGAAGTAAACATTTTAGTTAATATGATATAGTTGTGGTTTAGAGTGAAATTTTTTATTTTTGTAAATTTTTCAAATATCTAAATTTATAAAAGATTTTTTAATTGTAAAATAGCAATGTATTTTGCACTTTTTTCAATCATTATTAAATAATTAGTTATTAATTTAATTATTGCTAATAAGAAAATTAGGAATAAGTAGCACTGATATTGTATTGGTATTTTAGAGATACTTAAAAAGTATTTTTTTTTAAAATACTTATTCTCATACTATTTTTTGCTTTTTTCTTGTATTTTCTGATGAAATGCATACAGAATTTAATTAATATTAATTAATTAATTTGTCGATAAATTGCTATGCCGATTTCTTATAAATATAATACCCAATTTTGAAACAACTCTGATAACCATCAGATTGTTAATAACTTTTATTAAATTTTATTTCCACATCAACAAATATTGAAATTAATTGAATTTGAAAAAAATTTTTGCTTGGCGCTAACAAAATTTTTTTCCATTTAAAAATCAAAGTCTTAAAAGCAAAATTTTCAATGAATTTCAAATAGATAAAATATTAAAAATTTCCAAGGAAAGATAAATTTAATGGTAGGAAAATATATTCTTAAACTAAATTAATGCGCTAATATCAATAATTCTTTTAAGAAGACAATAATTTTTGCGATATAATTTCCCAATCAAACTTCTTATCATTTATCATATCACCATTAATCAATTTTTTTTCCCCGTGCAAATTTATCTTTACTTTTAATGCATTCTTTATATACGTGCGCTAAATAGTATAATTAATCTATGTTAATCAATATAATCAATGGTAGTGATATCAATCATAGAATTCAATTCTCGATGTTTTTTTTTCTAATTCTCAAAATTTCAATTTTTTAACAAATTCCAATTCTCAAATTTCCAAATTTCAAATTCATCTATGCTACCAATTATTCTATTCTTTATGCATACTTTATTAATATAATTTATTTATAAAAATTAATACAATCAATAATTGCTACAGTAATCACGCCAATTATAAAATTTAATTCTCAGTTACTAATTCTGTAACATTTCTTCTTCATATTGTAATATTATATTTCTATTTTGCATTTCTAATTTTATATTTTTATTATAATTTTGTATTTCAGTTTTAACCTTAACAATTTTATAAAATATTATTGATATTTTAATTAATACAAAAATCATAAGTGCATGAAAAGCATGAAAAAGAAAGTATCGCACATAATAGTAAATAATAGAAATTGTGCTTTAAAATATTTCAGGTATGTTACAAATAAAAATTCATTGATATGTGAGATATTTGTCACAATTGTCACAAAATACAATTAATGTCACAAATGTCACATATATTTAAAATACCTGGCAGTTATTATAAATAATAAAGTTATATGACATGCATGCATGTTTGGTGTACTTTACTCTTTATTAATTGATAAAATTTTTTCTTTTTTGGAATTCGTTATGATCAATATTAATTTCTTTGTGAGTTGAAATTTGTTTACTGTAAATGACATATTTGAAGTTTGTTTACTGTAAATGACATATTTGAAGTTTGTTTACTGTAAATGACATATTTGAAGTTTGTTAATTTGTTCAATAACGAAATTTACAAGTGCAAATAGAAAAAAGTCTTTAAAAATATTGTGGAAAAAAAACCGAAGTATAAAAATTAAAGTTATAAATTATTTAATTATTTGCTACCAAATTGAGACGAAAAAAAAATTTATCCATTTTATTTGTTTATTTACCTTTTTTTTTTTGAGTCTTACTCATTTTTTCTTTAACACTCGTCGTTTTTGTTAATTTTTGTCAATTAATGATTAATTTATACATATAAGAATACAAAACAGAAGAGAATATCGGTCAAAATAATTAGAATTTTAAATTATTTCAAACTTTTTAATTTTATGATTTTGAATATTATTTTAATAAATATTTTCAAAAGTTACAAAAACATAAAAAATCGAATTTTTGCTTATTTTTTTTTGAAAAATTAATGCATGACTTTTACTTCATTTTTTTTTTTTTGAGAACTTTTGAAAAATCAATGGTGTGACAAATTGACTGATTTCTGATTACTATTTAAGTGATCACTTATCAGTGTAATGTTAGATTTAATAAATCAATTTATACAATGGCTAAATTTTACTCCAAAAATGAAAAATAATATTAAAATAATAAAATTTTTATGAAAATTGTTTAATTACTTATTAGTTCCAGTAAATAAAACAAATAATAATTTTTATTTAAAAAAAAAAAAACGAATATTTTTATTAGGAATAAAAATTTCCATTTTTTAGAAAAAAAGATCGCATATATTAATATGTTATAACTTTTTATTGAAAAAAAAACACAAAAAAAATTGAAGGAATTAAATTTTTTTCCTTCTGCATAAAATGTTAATCAGAAATGATAACGATTAGACATTCTGCTAAATGATAATTTTATATAAAAAATTGTCAGAAGATAAAATAAAACTTAATAAGATAATTAATGGGATTAATTGGAAATAAATATAATTTTTCAAATCTGATGAATAAAAAAAATTTATAAATTACTACAATAAAAAGTTTAAATGTAAACTTTTATTTAGTTTTTTTTTCTTTCTCATTTGTTCAACTATATTCAATAAAATAAATAAAATTAGTTTATTTCTTAAATTGCTAAATTTAAATAGTTTCATGAAATTTTAAAAAGAGCAAAAAATATAATTTAAAAA